AAATAAAATGAAGATAATTATTAATCAAGTCAGTATAATATATTTTAGTTTACATGTAAAAACCTCTTATTGCAATCAATATACAATAAATGAAATATTTATGATAATTGAATACAGTATATGTAAATAAACGTTATCACTAATTATTATGACATGATACTCTTTGTTTTTTTATATAAGGGGCCATTTACTTACTCGGGTAAGTAAACACCAAGTCACATTACCTTACATGATGAATATAATAAGGACCAAGAATCTTACCCGGTAAGAGTGACACAATGACCAAGAGTCTTACCCGGTAAGTGAGGGCGATGAATCTTACCATGATATGCTTTACCGGGTAAATTGTTGCATATGATACTGTTTTGGTGGGCTGAAATCTTACCCAATAAGTAAATGATAATGTTAAATTTTATTGGTAAGCGCTTATCGGATAAGTATTTGGTAAAATACCCCTAAATAACCATTCTCATTAATTATTATTTACATAAGATTCATAATATATTTTTTGATATTATTAGATGATTATTATCGGTTATTATTATTTACATAACACTCCCTATATATTATTTAAAAAACAATATATGTACTAAACAATTCATCATATGAGTTTCAATCATTTTCTTTAGCATATCATATATGTTGATTTTACATAAAATGATTAAAAAACATTCTGTAACAAGAAACCAAGCAATAAAAAATTAATCTTAGGCGAATCGAAAAAAACTCGAACAAGTCAAATGAAAATTTAAACAATTCAATCGGATTCGCCTATGACGGAAGTTGTCACAATACTAGCGACTACTGTTACTCTTTGTGCAATGTAGGTTGGGAGAAAAGGGGGGTTTGAGACAAAGCTACAAACGAGTACGTTACAAGAAGTGTAAGCATATTGTAAAAATGTCCCAATATTATGTAAAAAAATGGGTAATAATACCGCGTTTGTGTGGTGCATATAAATATTTTATAGAAATATGTGTAGGGTATAAATTGATAAATTCATGACTTAACGATTCCAATTATACTCCTTATTATTATAATCAATAGGCTCACACATTTCTTTTATCATTTTGAGTAAATTACAAAGTTTGATATAAGGAAAGATTGATATATAAAAATTATTATTTAAGTATATATATTTTAAAAAACAATAAAGGATGATGAGTTGATTTCATATAAAGTATAATATCTTTTTTTATTAGTTTAATATATGATATGTGATAATCGACCCATTTAACTTCAGTATTTTCTAAGGAATTTATCGCCACCGTACAACGTGCGGTGTCGAACACTAATTAATTATAATGATACAAGATTCATAATTTTCAAGAGTTATTAGTGTTTGATAGAGAATAAACTGAATCTAGCCATATGGCTTCTCAAATAGAGACTAAATCAGAATATTGTTTTCTGTTAGGACCTGGATCAAGCTGCCTATATTGATAAATTTGTTTATATGTTAACATATAAGTTGTTGTTCGATTGTTATACTGAATAAACCGTCTGAATGATGAAAATAACTATTTTACCCTTGGTTTTACATTGAATATTATAGATCAACCCCTAAGGCCTAGTCAAGAAAGGTCCATCAATAGGGGTGTATTTGAGCCGTGTCAAGTTGAATTATCTTGCTTCGCTTGGCTATTGAATAATCATGTAAGGTTAATTAGGCTCGACTCATAGCACCTGAAATGGCTTAAGAGTCTTAGTTTTGTTCTTGGAAGATCACGGTATGACCATAGAAGCATATAGGATCGACTTATTTAAGCTCGAATTATTTAGGCTTGCGTCCCACATTAGACTTAAGTTCGGCTCAAATAGTAAAAAAAATTGGTTCGACTCAATAAAGTACGGGTTCACCACGCTTTTTGACAAGCCGGTTTGTGTTTCCACAACCCAATACACAATTACAACGTTGAGGGAATTGCTAGAAAAATGAGAAACTACAATGGAACCCTATAGTTAACTATCGTCGATGGCCTAAATAACCATGACAACCACAACAACAAAATGAGCTTTTTAGGACGATAAACCTTCCTTAAGCATCATCATGATAAAGTACTTAACGGGATTTTAGAACAAACTTCTATACATTCTAAGCTATGACATTACAATAAATTATTAGGATAAAGTTAGATCACCTAACACTTTCTATCGACAAAATCAGATAATCCAATATGACATATCTAAGAAATCAATCGTCCTGTAGATATGTTGGACACTTTTGAAGAGTGTCCTATCAAGGTTAATAAGACCCTCTTAAAAGTGTCATATATACAAGACGATTGATTTCTTATGTCATATAAAATTGTCCAATTTGCTTCCATAGAACTTGTAATGTTAGTTCAATTTCATCCTAAAAGCTTATCGTAATGTCCTATTTATATATGATCAAATTGTTTGTCTTATAAATTCAAGTCCTATTAAGCACTATGTTAGGCCATCTTAGATGACTAAACCACCTAAAAGTTTGTTTATATTTTACTTAAACCTTACTATGTCCAACTATTTGACGAACTAGCTTGATCAAAAGTCGATCATACCATGCATTTGCTTATTTCTAACTCCGAAGGACTTCTGATGTCTCAATATATCCTAAATCTGACCAACTACCCCATTTTCCACAAATTTTCTAGTTAATCATCAATCAGACACTTAGTTAAACCATTTTGAGTTCATTTATAAACACATTTCTCAATTATCAATAGGTGATCATCAAATGAACAGAGATCAATGGAGCTAGACCTAGTAACAAGACCACGTTTTCAAAGCAGGTTCTTGATCATCTTATGTATATTGATCAATCTTTTTCCCCAAATTCACCTGATCAATTGAGTCGCATTTATTTGATTTTCTTAACATTTTCAATAGAGGGAAAAGACGGGAAATTTTTACGATCAAAGATCTCATCGGCTTCTTCCACATTCCCATAGAAGTAGCCGCAAAGAAAAATACAAGTTTATCCGACTGTAATCAAGAAAATTTGTCGTAAGCATGGACTATCATGATGGTCGTACAGAAAGGTTGGTACCATTCTAGATACCGTCATGGTTGATGAAATCGACAACATAGGGAACGGTTCAAGTGAGAACCCATATATTTGTAGGTGCATATAAAATATGTATTATGTTAATGAGTATATGTACGTATGCATGTACACATACACAATGCTCATAATCACTGAAAATATTAACAGTTCTCGTTTCAACCAACTTATATATATATATATATATATAATGAAATGAAACAATGTTTTTATGAATTTGTTGAACTTGCAGATAAACTCGATCTAGAGGAAGATATCAATGAGAGCGAAATTCTGGACTTGAGGTGATGCTTGAAGAAAGAAGTTGTGATCAATCTGAAATCGATACATTTGGACAAGAAATTGCAAATATTTATGCAAGATTCAATGTTTAATTGATAGGGGAAGTAGCATAGAATCTTTATATGTATATATACAAACGTTAAAATTAATGAATCAAACAACCAAATTTAGAATTGTTGGCGAACAAAGAAGCTCATTACTCACTCAATCTAACCAATTTTGGATGAACTCATCCACACGGTCCAACCATTTATGTTTTTATAATAAACTTTCCAGTAAAATTACAGATTTAGTCCTTGAGTTTTGTGATCTGTTACAGTTTTGGACAACCCAAACTTTAAAAAGAAATCAGCAATATTAAAGCCGGCTGCTACAGACCTAGGAGATATCAACATTCGAAACTATGGTCAAAACAAGCACCCTCAATATCATCTTCATCTCCAACACTAAAAATCCATTTTCTTGAACTATCCGTACACACACACACATATGCATATATATAATATACACACAATTACGTGAGGTTCAAACAAGTAATACAACTTCTTCCGCCATGAAAACCAGTGAAACGAGCTTATCGCAGACGTTAGTCTGTGTGAAACAAGTGAAACAAGGAGCAGTTGAAGAATGGGATGAGGAGATGCCGTTACCGGGAGACATCATCGAAGGAATTGCTGCATCAGATGGTTGTACTTTCGATAACGTTGAGGATAAGTTGTTTGTACCCACAAAAGGGAAGTCGGAGGTTAAGTCGTTACTGGGAAGAATTAATAAAAGAAACGCTGATGGTTTCGTTTGGTTGAAAGTTAGAAGGGGCGATCAAACCGTGAATCTGCGTGTTTGTATCGTGCAAGAAAAGCGTTTATTGCATCGAAAGTTTAGTTTTCGAGCCGTTTCTAATGATAAACATGTTGCCGTTTTGGACGATTTGGATTTTGATCAATGCACTGAACTTCAAGGTAGATTTTTCTCTTATCCATCAATACGAGCTCTTTGCGATGCCAAAATTGTCGTTGAAGATGCTCATTTTTGTCGTTAAATGTGATCTATTACTACGATAAAGTTGGCTTTTTAGGATTTGAAATAAGTCTATATGTCTTAATAGATTGTGTATTACAAATGTTTTTGAACGTCCTAAAAAGATTTTTAGAATATTTTTGTTGCAACGTGCATTCTGTTTTTTTAGTTTGCGTGCATCTCGACTGATCCAATATGAAGCTGAATATAACAGTCAAGAAATCCCATTGGCGACCTACGAGGGAGGAGCCGCCTAACCTTTATTTGTCAATTGAGTTGGCACTCATGGTTGTATTCCAATTCTTTTGGCCTCTTGAAAAATGGTTTCGGTCTTTCGGAATTTATGTGCAGAGAGGAGTCGAAGAGCGGTGAGCGTGGTGTCACGAGGGTTTAACCAAGAGGCGGTAAAGTACGATTGGCGGAGGAAGGTGGCTACTTATCTGCCGGATCATCAGTCTACAGTCGTTAATTCGATCCTTTTCAAGCCTCTTCCGAACGAGCACGATGTCCATGCCACGACCATAAGAACGATGGCATGGTTTTCAGCGGCGGTGTCTTCAGGAACGCCTATCGTGTTCGTTAATATTCAAACCGAACAAATCGTTCCCTTGGTATTTTTCTTGAAACCAGTTTAAATTTAATCAGATAAAAGTAGTTTTTCTTCCCTTGTGATTTTGTGACGATTAATTGATCTGTCAGGAAAAATGTAATTCTACGAAGATTCCAACACAGATTGTTCATGGGATAAGGTTATGGTTTTTGCCAGGAACAGCAGAAATCCCAATCCAAATGACACCTCAACCAACAGAAAACAGACTTGGCATAGACGTCAAAAGAACTGAGGAGGTAATCAGTAACATTTATGCCTCTTCATAGGGGTAGTTTCGTCATATCACTATTCATGCATGCAGTACGATCCATTAAAGTCGAATACGTGTCCAAATACGTACATAGACTGTTGTATAAAATTTTAAGTTTATTGGATAATTTCACGGTAAGTTGACATGACGTTTTAAAAAACAAAGCGTTCAATTAGTTTTTTATATGGCATTATTTGATAAAATATATAAAAAAAACACCAAATAAGATACTTTATTTCAAAAGTGTGTTAACAACTTATTAGGACTTTAAAAATGTCTTATCAACTTATTGCAACATTTTGGCATATGATATGCATAATTGTTCGGTTCCATAAACTTGAAAACCTATAAAACAAACAATTATGACATTTTAGAAACATTTGACGTCCTATAGATCTAATTTGTTGTAGTGACCTTTGTAAACAACCACTATAACCTTTGTTGGACAAATCTATGTACATCTCAACCAACCAGATACCCTTAGTTTTCAAGTGAGATACAAGGAATATGCTAAAATCATTCGTATGTTAAAATGCACCAGGGTTTCATGTGCCTTTACGCAGTGACCAAGGGTTCGGCTGCGGATCGTGCCGGTCTGGGACGATTGTTCGAAAATGCAACTGAAACGGGGCACCTAGTGGTGATATCGCGGTTAGAAGGCAAGACTGTGATGCCCACAATGGTTAGCTCAGATGGGTTATTACACTGTTGTGATCATGGTGATATAAGGGATGCTCTTGTTGGAGCTATGGATCAATTGGATACCATTCGTCTTCACATCATGTCTTGGCCTACGACCACTCTGAGTACGCAACCGGTTGGTGTTGCTTCCCTCAGACCTCCAATGTAATTTAGATATGTGGAACCTTATCAGAGTACCGCTCAAAAAACCTTCTGAAAGAAACAAGGTTTCAATAGATAGTATAGCTATGACGTTCTTTGATTTGATAATATAGTATGATATTCCTAGAGAAATCAGTAAGATTTGTAACATATGGATTTCCAGATTTAGAACTATAAGATAATCATCAACATCAAACTCTTTCAAAAAAAAAAAGTTCTTGAACAACATACAGCAAATAAGTCTTCCAAAATCACCAATGTTTCGACATAATTAATGTTAGCAACCTTGTATGATTTTGTAACCTTTTTTTATAACTATGGGTGTTCGAACCAACTTCCACAAACTTGACTAATCTTATGAGGTCTTAGAGAACAACTGAGAAAATACCAAATGGCGGGACTGAAATTATAATCTATGAGAAAAAGCTCTAAAGATGCAAGCCAAATATTATTACAAGGGTGCAGGTAAACGTAAAACCAGCTTGATATATATGTATATATATGTATATATATATATATATATATATGTGTGTGTATATATAGAGAGAGAGAGAGAGAAAAAAAATTCCAGGTCTACTGCTTATTATTACTTAAGTAATGAAAAACCAAAATATTAATTATATCTTGTTTAGTTGAACTTTACATATAACATTAGTTCATCAAATAAATGTGCATCTATCATCATCCAAAAGATAAACTTCAAAACTAATGGAAGAGAATTTGAAAAAAAGAAAAAAGAAAAAAAAAGAGATGAACAAACAATAAAAGAGAAGATAAATCGAAACATAATACAGTAGATGCCCTAATGAAAAATCAAATGTATCCATCATAACGAGGTCAAGTATATCATCAACAAACATAGAAGAAATAAGCAAAAGCATCGAACTTGGAGAAAATGATATCTTAACCCCTAATTGGAGAAAGCGAAATTTGCAAGCTTCAAACTTGGAGAAAAAGAAACCCTGATCCTCGATTGGTATCTGCAAACTTCAAACTTTTGAATTAGGGAGATCAAGGGTTAGGAGTATCTTTTTTTAGGCTGAATAGGGACGACACACCTTATCCATCTGTGTGAATAAGTAATGTACTATGCGAATACGCCGCAAGCAAACAACCCAAAAGAGGTGTGCGAATAAGTCAAATAGCCCATTAAGCTCTAAACAAGCGTCATAATAGAATAATTTTAGAACTTACGTATAAAAGATCCAAACCATAAAGTGTCCTATCTAAGAGCATTACAATAGGTGTATAGGGCGCTTTTAGACGTTTTAACAACTTTTTAGAATGATTTTAAAATATTGTATTAGTTATTTTATAAGACACTTGTATTTATATGACACCTTTTCAAATAGCTTCATATAAAATAGTTAATGTGACATTTTATTTTAAAAGCGTTTTAAAAACTTGTAGTATTGTCTTCAAAGTTATTAGCGTTTTAAATTTGGATTTTTTTCCTGACTCGTTTTCCTTGTATCACATTTATTGATCCACATGGAAACCGGAAAGAACCGCCAACAAATTGACATCTTCATTTATCTTTGATTTGTTGTGATCCAGATTGTTGGGCTGAATCTAATGAATTTGGGCTGGATGTTCATGAACGTTTATTGGGCCTTGGCTCTTTCGAATTCTAAAAGAAAATAATATTTAGTAATTTTAATTTCGTTTTTATGTTTTAATCCTGAAATTATGTATCAAAATTTATTTTGGATAGTTGTCTTGTCTGGAGTTAGTCGTCAAAAATGGTTGATAAAAGTAGCGATAGCAGTTCAAAAATGCAAACCATTTATGCCATTTTTGTTGGTGTTCTTCCTATCGTATCCCATTTGTTTAAGATTGATTAGATAGTTATATCCTCTAAATGATATCCGATATTACAACATCAAGTGGAAACGGATTTCGTCTTAGGATATTGCTTGATCTATCGGCATGTAATCTATTTTTTGGGAAAAATCTATCAATAGGTTAGCAGATAAAAGGATTTTGTTGAATTCATTGAATAGATTTTGTTTGCATATAAAGGATTTTATTAGAAGGGTACTCACGTAATGCAGCGAGATATATCTCGATTTCAATGTATTATTTATTTTTTTGGTCCCTGTCAATATTATAATACGAACTTATATGGTTTTGAGCAAATAATAATATTTTTCCTAATAAAATATAAATTTGAAGAAAATCATAAAAAGTAACATATATATATATATATATATATATATGTGGGCTTATTTAAGGGAGAACTGATTATTTTGTAGTAACTGTGAGATCCATTCTCAACCACATATCAACGGATAAATTTATAAATTAGTAATTTTAGTAATTTAAGTTAAAATTATAATTTGAGGGCATTTTAGGTATTTTTAAAAACTCCTCTCTCTTCTCTCCTCTCTCCTACCTTTGACCTCCGATCTCCAGTGAACATTATTCCGGTCGGTGCCAAGTAATCACAAAGTTACACAATGTGATGCCCATTGTGGTATCACTGTGATACCATTGTGATACCAACTCAAACCTTAAAAACAAAATCAAATCCATAATCTAAATTTAAGAGATACATACAGACCATCCGCGTTGGGATACCCAAAATACATACAAGATGCACTGTGATACCCTATGTATACATACAACATGCACTGTGATACCCTATGTATACATACAACNATGCACTGTGATACCCTATGTATACATACAACATGCACTGTGATACCCTATGTATACATACAACGTGCCGTGAGAAGATATTTACCGGAGATAGGAGTCACCATGAGACGAGATCTGCGTCCTCTACCCCTCAGCGTCGCCTTCTTTCTCATTGTTGCCCGTCTTCCTCATCGTCGATGTATTTCTCCCGTCGTTGTCTTCCTCGTCGCAAACTACCTCGTCGTTGTCATCTTATGTCTGTGAAGGCATGTTGTTTGGAAGCGAATCGGTCATTTAAGGTTTGGTAAAGAGAAGCGAATCAGTCATTGGGGGATAGCTGACGGGCTGTGATCGTTTCAGTTTCTGTGCGATGCAGATGGTGGTGGTGGTGGTGCGGCGTAATTGAAGGAAGGATCGGCGCAATCATCTCCGACGCCAGAGATTGGAGCTGAGGGCGGCGGGAGTGAGAGGGCAGCAACAGGGATCGATCGGCCTAGGGTTTTAGAATGATTTAATATGTTGTCAATTTTTTAAAATTATTAATACACCCCTTTTTCTTAATTAAGGTAATACAATTAATATAATAAAAATGATTGGCTGAGATTGGACCTCACAGTTACCACAAACTAATTAGTTCTCATTTGATTAGGCCTATATATATATATATATATATATATATATATATATAAGTTCTCATTTTTTGTGTAATTTTTCTTCAATTCAATTTTTTATTATAATTTAATTTAGGTTGAATGACGAAGTAATTTATTTTTTGTTTAATAATATAATTTTTATGAAGATAATAACTAAATATTTTGTTAGCACTCAATAATTATTCTAATTATATTTTAGATTTTATATAACTTTATCATGTATTTGATAATATTTATCTACAGTTAGTTATACGAATTTAAACATAGAGCTTAATAAATTGTCATTACGCACAATTTACTTGTAATCTTGAATTTTAAATAATATGCATCAATAATCAATACTTTGTGTATAAAAGATGGTTTTTAAGAGTTTTTGTCAAATGATTTATAATATAGTATATATATATATATATATATATATATATATAGGGACATTCAAATACAACCCCTCTAGATTATACAACTGATGCAACCCATCTATCCATCATCATTTTTTTTAATTAAGGGTAGTTACAACCGATCAACTGGTAACCGATGATGATCAAACTGACGCTCCTGATTTGGTTGTGGGGGTTATAGGAATGTAAAATGTTGTATAATAACCCACCTCTTTATGTATATGTATATATATGTATATATGGGTTGGTTTCTAATGAGAATAAAAGTTATGGTGAGAAGCGTAACTCATATTGAAACTAGCATTTGCTGCCGCAGAATAAACTAATTTAAAGTTGAGATAACATTGCTAGATAAGGCATGAGTTCTAATATAATAAGTGTTTCTTCGTAGGAACGTCCACGAATTTGATCAATTACTCTTCATGCTTCTATGAGCAAACATAGATATATGTTGACCTAAAGCATATACTTCTGTTATTCTCTTATTTAACATAAAGTATGTGTCCTACTAACCAATGATAAATGTCTATATCTATATCTATCTATCTATATATATATATATATATATATATATATATAGGGTTGGGTTTACGTGAGACCAATGGTTTTTCGTGAGACCGGTAAGACCAATTTATGTTCATTGATTAACTTGATAAGCTAATGATTTAATGGTCTAAAATTCACGGTGGCAATTTTGTAATTATTGAGAAGTCTCGTGGCGTTTATAAATGTTCAAATCTAACGATTGTAGATCTAATCCAAGGGTTGAGAATTGGTCTTACGGGTCTCACGATAAACCATTGGTCTCACATGATCCCAAGTCTATATATATATATATATATATATATATAATCAAATGAAAATTGTTTTGTTTGTGGTAACTGTGAAATCAAATCTCAACTACAAATCAACGATTAAATTAGAAAATTAATAATTTTGATAATGTAACTTCAAATATTAATTAAGGGCATTTTAGAGATTTTATAGATATTCTCTCTCATCTCTCCTCTTTCCTCTCTCCGACGAATCTTATTCCGATAAACCTAATGTGAACATAAGATACACGCTATGATATCTACAAACGCAATTCATTGTGATATCCAGATATGCATACAAGATGCACAATGTGATATCCTTTGTAAAGCAATGAAAATAACGAAAATGTACTATGATACATTTCATAAAACAAAGAAAATACATTGTGATACACGTGAAACATTGTAAACATTATCACTATGATACATTTTGATTCACAAACGTTTTTAAAGTACGATGTATATTAGGTAATTGATGTACTAGGTAACTAATTTTAATCA